GGAGAAGGGGCCACGAGTCAGGGAGTGTGGGCGGCTTCTAGAAGCTGGAAAAGGCAGGGAACAGATTCTCCCCCGGACCCTCCAGAAGGAACTAGGCCTCCCCACACCTTGCCTTTGCCCAGCGAGACCCCGTCGGACCTCAGACCTCTGGAACTGTTACAGAGTACATGTGTGTTGTTGTACGCCACCAGGCTTGCGTGAGTCGTACAGCAGCCACAGGACACCAGCACAGGCCTCTTCCTAAGTAAACCACTGCCGCCGTGGCGGACACGCAGTAGGAACAAGAGCAGATGAAGGGAGGGAACCTTCCGGGCCAGCCCAGGGGCCAGAGAGGAGGCAGGTGTGCGCTGTGTCTCCTCCAACCAGCTGCCACCACCCTGCCCGCCCTGCCCTCCCCTCGCCTGACGCTCTCACTGTCCCAGGGAAGGGCTGGCTTTCCCTTCCTCAGCGTGGCCAAGGGGGCGACTGGTGGATGGGTCCCCTGGGTAAACGGAGGCACAGCATGGGAACACGAGGCTTTTGCACCTGTGCCCTCTGGTTAGAAAACAGCCCGTGTCCACCCTCGTTCCCTCCTGCTCAGGTGTCTGCCGAGTCCTCCACTGTGTGGGGGATGGGGTCAGCCCCGCCCTGGGAACAGAGACGAGAAACCCGGTGGGAGGAGCCAGGAGGAAGGGCAGAGACAGGGCACAGCCCCGGCCCTGCCTGCTCGGGGTGGAGGAAGGGCCCGGCCCCGAGGCTCCAAGAGACCTGGACAAAGAGCTGATGTGCATGGTGGCTTTCTGGGGGAGCAGAGCGGGCGGCTGTCAGGACAGAATGAACCCACAGACCACCCGAGCACCCCTGCCAAGCAAGGCAACACCCCCAACGTGGCACGTGAGAAAGGGGGAGCCCCAGGAACACGGCTGTGACCAGAGTGCCAATCTTGGCCTGGTTTTCTGCAACCTCACCCCCCCCCCACCAGTGGGGTCTGCGGCTTCTACTGTGTCTATTAATAATGACCTCATTAGCCACTTTAGAAGCTGTTCTAGCTCAGAAAGCACATCTAGGGCCCGTGTGGCACAACTACAGGGCCACCACTGAGCTGTGCAACATGGCAGCCCTGATGACCATGCGGAAAGCACACTCGCAGAATGGCGCCCCCTGCAGTTGTGCAGTGTACAACCCGCACGGCGCTGCATGGCAGCCCCCAGTGCCTTCTTAGTGTCCATCCTCTGTCCGATGCCATAAGGAGATGGCATTTTCACCGTGCTATTCGGCAGTCAGAGCGCTGAGCTCGGCAAAGGTTCTGAATCTTGCAGAGGCCCCACGGCTGGGGAGTAGCAGCGCTGGGGCCTAGAAACTTGGACCTGGGTCTCAGACGCCTAAGCCACACCTTCCTCCCGTCACCAACCGGTGCCGCTTCTCTCCCAGGAAGGCTGCGACGGCACAAAGATAATTGCTCCGGGGAAGCCTGTTCCCATCGGCTGGTGATGAATTAGGGGTGTCCTCTCGCTGGGTTTTATACCGCATGCAAGTGGCACATGAGAAATCGGTCTTCCTTTGGCTCCAGGCTTAAGAGTATTCGAACGAGATGAGCGTGAGCGCTCGCCCCCAGGAGGGAAGGCCCCCGATCGTGAGGTTTCGGTGTGCCTTTCGCCCACCAGCTGGTGACTTCTAGTCTGTCCAGGGTTTGTGCCTTGCCTGCCAACAGAATCCCAGCCCTGGGGGTCCCCACGGCCTTCACAGGACGGCAGAGAAGGCCTGGGAGTCCTGGAACCCCCGGTGCAGTCCTCCCACAGCCCTGGAGCTGTGCTCCCTGCAGTTAGCAAGCTTCCTCCTCCCAGGCGGGTGCTCTGAATGCAGCCCCTGAGACCAAAGCTGCTCACGTGGCGACAGCCTGGCCAGCCACCCGGAGCCTTTGCCCAGGAGTGGCTCAACCCTGGACCCGGCGGTATCCCCATCCGACCGCAGTGACACGGAAGTCTGGTGAGCCCTGTGGGCTGGCCTGGGAATCTTGGGGTCAAAGGGGAATCCAGTGTCACCTAAACCCAATTCCGCCTTCCATAGCACACATAACCCCCGCCTCTGGGAGGGGCCAAGGCAGCTGCTTGCGACGGATGTCCCTGGGGGACTCGGTCCAGCCACCAAGCTGGCACAAGGGCTCCTGGTGTATCTGCTTCCTTCCTCTGGCAAGACCCGCTATCCCCACGCGCAGAATGTTTGCAGGGAAGCGGGTCAGAAACGGACTGCCGTGGCACCCACCGCCCGGCCGGCTCTGGGATAGGAGCCTCCATCCCCCGGGCAATGACTTGGGAAGGAGGAGGAAGGAGAGGAAGGAGAGGAAGGAGAGGTAGGACAGTGTGTGTGTGTGTGGGGGGGGGCACGTATGTACATGAATGTGTCCCTGTGTGTCTGTGGTGTGTGTGTGCACGTGTGAGCGTGTCCGTGTGTTTGTGGGGGAGTCTGCGTACGTATCCACGTGTGTATCATGTGTCTGTGTCTATGTGGGCCTGGGTGTGTATCCACCTGTGTGTGTGCTTGGTTTCCACGTGTGCGTCTGCGTGTGTAGGATTTTATGTAGACAGAGGCTGTGTCCCTGTGTGTGTTCACATGCATATTATGTATGCACAGGGGAAATCTGTATCTGTGTGTGGACCTGCGTGTGTGTATTTGTGGGATTTGTGTCTGCATATCTGTGTGTTTGTGTGTATGTGGTCTATGCGTACATTCACGTATGAGATGTGTCTCTCTGTGTGTCTGCGTATCCCCGTGTGAGTATGTACCCATCAGTGTCTGTCTCCATGTGTCTGTGTGTCTGAGTACACCTGTTTGTCTGTGTGTGTGCGTGTGTGTGTACCTATCAGTGTCTGTCTCCGTGCGTGTGTGGGCATATCCCTGTGTGTGTACCCGTCAGTGTCTGTGTGTCTGACGTGCTCCCCCGCGCCCGCCCGCTGCCCAGCTGGCAGTGCACAGCTGGCCCAGGAGACCGCGCCCGCCCGCCTGCCGGATGAGAGGTGGCAGGTGTGTAATAAACCATTAGTCACTGTCACGTTTCCGAGCAGCAGCGGCCGCCGGGCGGGGCCTGACTTCGGGACGAGCTCCTGGGGGGTCTCCGGCTGGGAAGCTGCCCTGGGCTGGGCACAGCCTGACAGGGAGCAGCTGGCAGACGAGGCCTCGAGCCCCTGCCCCGCCCGGCCCCCACCCGGCCGCAGCCCCTGACCCGGCCTCCCGGGCCTGCCCTGCCCGAGGGACACGCGAGGATGCCCCACGACGTCCGCACCCCCGGCTCCCCCACCGGAATGAGGCGAGTGCAGCGAGGACCCCTGATGAGACAGGTGCTCTCTAGGGACCGGGTGGCCACCAGTACCAGGGACTTGGGAGTGACAAGCCCCGCCCCTGCCACGTGACTGGAGGCCTCCGCCTCTCTGACCTGCGGGCGGGAAGTGACAAGCGCGCAGATGGAAGCGGGGAGCAGCTCGCAAGCCTCGGCCCACCCCGTGCTCACGACAGGCCGCAGGGCACCTGCTCTCACGGGCTCCGCCCCACAGGCGTGAAGACTGAGGCTCGGGAAGGCTGACGGGCTCACCGAAGGGCCCTCGGCGGAAACGCGGGTGGGCCTCGTCTCGGAATCCACGCGGGCTTGCTCTGCTCTGGGGGGCTCTGGTTTTCGGGGCCCCTCTCGGGGCCCTAAAGATGTAACTCAGGCTGGGCTCTGCCCGGAGGGGCGGGAGGGAAACGGGAAACCAGGCAGGGGCCTCTGCTGACCGGGAGCCCCAGCCGGCTCCTGCCCCGTGGGGCCACCTGCTCTGCTGCACAGCAGGGCCTGGGGGGGCCAGGGGCAGGGGCCGGCCCAGCGTGGACTCAGCCCGGAGCCGCTACCCGGAGCTGAGCCTCGGGAATCACAAATAGAAACAACACACTGACACCGGCCAGCACCGGGAGGCCTGTGACATGTTCTCGTGTCCTGACGGACTTAAGCCTCACACCCGCCCCGTGAGCAGGCTCCACCGTTAGCTTTCTTCCCATTTCTCAGATGAGAAAACTGAGGCACGGAGCAGGGGAGCCCACTAGTCCAAGGCTCTCAGTGTGCAGGGGGCCAGGCAGGGGGCTGTCTCCCTTAGAGTGTCCCTGCCTGGTCCCCTACGTGGCCTGGCCCCCCTGTCCCCATCCCTGGCCCAAGGCCACCCCTTCCCTCATCCCAAGTCTGCTCACAAAGAGAAAGAGGTCGCTACTGGGGCTGTTCTGGAAATGGACGCCCCAGACCGAAGCCCAGGGCCATGGTGGGGTGGCCACCTGTCTCCACCCTACCACTGGTCCATCTCCAGCCCCCGGCCTCGCCACGCAGCTACTCGCAAGCAGAGTTCCAGCCACAGCCCCCCAGGGGGTTTCACTCAAGGAAATGCGGCCTAATGGGCGGCTCCAGGTGCCTCCCGGGGGCCTCGGGACAGAGCTGTAAGAGCACAGGGGCCACCGCGTGGCCAAGTCCACCCAAAGGGCCTGACCTGGCCCGGTCCCGCAGGCCCAGCCACAAATGCCTTGCGAGTCACACACCACGGACGGGCACGGCCCCCGTGTCCAGGGCGGCGCCGCCACTCAGACAGCTACCACCAGGCGTCCCAGGGTCCGGGAGGGGTGGGAATAAAGACCAGGCTGGAGGCGGCCGGCGGCCTCTCCCCGCGCGACCCATCCACAGAAACCCAGAAACAACCCCTGTGGGTGCGTGGGTATCTGTGACGTTATTTTACAAATGAATGAAGACAACAGAACACACAGGTGAAGAAACACGACAGACAAAGGCAGCCTCCGCGCCTGGGACTCGAGAGTGTCAACCACCAGGGATCTTGGTTAAACCACAGTTTTGGACCCTGAAGAGTATGAGAAACAAATCCAGCATCAAGGGCGGGAGACTCGGCGGCGACTCCCTGAGAACACGAGGCAGAACTGGGCCTGAACCGGGCCTGGAGCCCGTCCGGCGTGGTCCCAGCCCAGTACCCAGAGATATGACAAGAACTGGCATCTACCTGTACCTGCGAGGTCTGGTCCATCCCCGTCCCGGCCACTCTGCGGACACTGTGCCGGCCTCGGCTCCTGGGCGGTCCTGGGGCCCCTGGGCAGGCTCTCTGCTGCAGCGCCCGGCCGGGGCTCGGGCTCCCGAGCGGGAGGGTGGGCGGCTGTCGATGCCTCCAGAGGCGCGGAAGTGACCTGCAGGGAAAGGAGGGGGACACTGAGGCTTGGCCACATCTGCCGGAGAGGACACAAAGACGGGCCCACTGGCCACGGAGCCCTCCTTCCCCCCACCGCGGCCTGGCCTTTGTGGTCAGGGACTCAGATGGGCTGGCTCTGGAGAGCCCAGAGCAGGTCCCCAGCAAAGCCAGCACCAGTGTCTTCCTCGCCCAACAGGCCCTGCCAGGGGACACCAGGCTGGACCCTGCACGCTGGGGTCCCACCCGCATGGCCCCATGGCCTGACAGTCCAAAACTGGAGCTGCCCAAGCCCCCCCCCAGGGCGGCTGGCCGGCCCTGGACAAGGCCTAGAGGACGTAAGAGGAAGCTGGAGGGTGAGTCCAGAGTCCCAGCCTCATCCTGTCCCCTGGCCATGGCAGGGATGAGGTCTGTCCTGTGGTTCTTGCCCAGCCAGCCACGGGGGCCTGTCGCTCGGTTCAGGGAGCTGGGAAAACCGTGTGGTCGCTGTCTCGCCTGCGCCCCGCACGTCAGGTGTTGGTCCCACCCGAGTCCCCTGGGGAATGGTCTCTTCCGGATCACGAGGCCGGGAGCCTGGCTGGAGCTTCGACTCCGCTCGGACCCGCTGGGTGGCACAGGGCGCGTGCTCTCAGCTCGCCAGGCAACCACAGCCTCCTCGACTGTGAGTGACAGGACGGACAGTGGAGGGCTGCCAGCTTGGTTTCTGGGGTTCGTTCGGGAGAGCAGGTGGGGGTGTTTGTTCTACTTCCTGGGGGTGACCAACTTAGCCTCCTAACGCAGATCTTTCCACATGTTTCCAGGCCCGTGCATCGAGGGGCCCATGGGCAGCACAGGTGAGCTGAGGCCCCTGGGACCTGGAAGGGGCCCAGCGCTCCCTCCACCGGGGAGCTGCCACCCAGCGGGAGGCCGGCAAGAGTGCGGTCCCCACACGGTGCCCGGCACACAGTAGGTGCTCACTGAACGCCAGCAGAACCTGATGCCCGCTCTCATGTGCCTGCAGCGGCAACACCACGCCCGGGCCACGCGCGGGGGACGCACGTCTGCCTGCTGGTGAGTGGCAGGGAGGCAAAGTTTGCTGATGGCTGCAGCCGAGCTCTCTCCCGAGCAGGGCCGGGAAGAGGAGAGGAGGACCGAGGACCGCGGCTGCAGGGGAGGGCGAGACGCCACGGCGTTGCTTTCCACGCCCCGGGAGCAATCGGGCCCAGGCACGAAGCCAGGTAGGCGCAGGGAGAAGAGCCGCCTCCTCCCCCAGGGCGCGGGCAGGTGCGCGCGCGGGCAAGGGTGGTGGGCACGGCCAACGAGCACCTCCAGGGCTGGCCGCAGGCCCCGCCCCTGCTCAGGACACGCGGGTCTGTCCAGGATGGAGGGAGGAGGACACACATGGGCCAGCCCGGCCCTGCCTGACCGCGGCGGCCCGCACGGAAGCCCATCTACAGAGACGCTCTGCTCGACCCACCCCGATGGCGTTTCTCGCTCTGTGCTGCAAGCTGTGCGTCAGAGGCCGAAAAACGGTATTTTATGCCCCTTAATTCCCCGTAATAGCTCCGTGACGGCGAGCAAAGGACTCGAAACACCACGGGAGAGATGAGGCTTCCGGTCGGGGAGATGGGAGACGCCGAATGCAGAGTCCCCGACAGGAACCAGCCAAGGGTTAGGAAATGCGCGGCGGCGCCGGGCGTAATTGGGAAGTTGTTAGATATGGAATACACACAGCACCCAGCAAATGAGTAATCAGGGACTAATTAAGCACACGCCACACGGCAGATCACGCGGGAGAGGCTGGTGGCTGCCACATCTGTGACTGCAATTAGGGGTGCTCCGGCTGCTGCGGCGCTGCCGGCTGCGCGGGATGGCGGCGTCTCGGGCAAGCGTGCCGCAGCCGGGGCCGGGATCAGACCCCGCGCACCAGCCCCGTCCAGCCTGAAGGACAGCAGAAGCCCGAGTGGCCACGGGGTCGAGGACTCGAGAAAATTAACAAGATGGTTTTTTTGTCCCAGTCTTCAAGTCTGGCCAGGTGGTAACTCGCTGCAGCCGCCGAGGCCCCCTGGACAATTTGCAAAGTGTGAGCACAAAACCACGCCTCAGAGCTCTGCAGGTTCTGCCAGGGAGGGCAGGCCGCGGTAGAATCCACCAATTTTACCGACGGGGAAACTGAGGCTTAGAGGACAGAGAGTGGGCAGCGTCACCCAGCCTGGCTCCCCCTCCAGCAGGCACAGGGCTGTCTGGGGAAGGTGCAGGAGCCGTGTTCAAGTGGAGAATGGGGGCCAGATGCGTATGTGGCCACCAGGAGCAGAGTCCTGGGCCCCCTGCTTCCTCCTCCATAAAGCAGGTGTGAGGGTCAGAGGACAGGGCAGTGGGGAGACTCCAGCTTCAGGCAGGGAGCCCATAAGTACATTTGTTAAACAAAGAACAGAAGAAAGAGAGACCCCACCCCACCTACCACAAGGAGAAGCTTTCCTGGGACTTCCAGCCCCCAGACGCCGCGGTGCTGAAGAGCCTTTGGGTTCGGCTGGAACTGGGGGTTATCTCCAAACCCAGGGGCCGCCGCCTGTCCCCCGGGGTGGAATGGAAGGGTCCTGGGCCATGGTCCTAAAGCAGGAAGCTTCTGGCAAAAATGGCGTCAGTAACCACTGTGTCGGCGGCGCCTGCTGAGAGCGGGGCACCGACCCTGCCAGCCTCACTCAGCCCCAGGAGGCAGCGCTGTGGTGCCCCATTATACCGATGGGGTAACCGAGGCGTAGACACACAGAAACATTACTTGGCCTCACAGTGTCGGACGGGCCGAGGGAGGGATGTTTCTAAGAGCCTTATGGGAAAGCAGGAGTCCACGCTAACGGCACTCACAGCCTCAGGAGACACACCTGAGTCCACGCTAACGGCACTCACAGCCTCAGGAGACACACCTGAGTCCACGTTAACGGCACTCACAGCCTCAGGAGACACACCTGGGCCAGCAGGTGCGGCCAGAAGGGGTGGGGCCGAAGGGAGGCTGGGAGGACATTCAGGCAGCAGGAGCAGGCCAGAGGCAGGCATGGTCAGCACTCCTGCCGCTCTTGTGTCTGAAGGGAACATTCTAGAAGGCATGACCCTGGCCCCCTCCCCCAAGGGACGCCTCCCAAGGCCTGGGACAGGGCAGGGGGCTTCCACCCAGGAGTTCGCTGTTTCCTGAGGCGAGAGCGCCTCCTCCTGGCGTCAGGCTGTAGCAGCAAACGAAGCAGTTAAAATCCCTGTCCTCGAGGAGCGGACACTCTGGCTGGAGAGACACAGGCTCTGACGCGAACGTGAACAGACCCACACGCTCACGCCCGTTGGCGGGAACTGCCATGAAGACAATGGCAGGAGAACAGGACGGGGACAGTGGGGGGAGGAGAAGAGGACATTTGTGCGGTTGAAGGAAACGAGCACGCCAGCCATGGAGACACCGGGGAAGGGTGATCCAGGCAGAGGGAACGGCAAGCACAGTGGCCCTGAGGCAGGAGCATGTTTGCAAACTCTCTCCAAAGGCCGGAGAGTACCCGTGGCTTTGGGGACACAGGGTCTCTGTCAAACGCTACGCAAGCCTGCTGTCGTAGCACCAAAGCAGCCCGAGACGACACATCAATGAACACGTGTGGCTATTCCAATAAAGCTTTATTTATGGGCACTGAAACTTGAATTTCATGTAATTTTTACATGTGGTGAATTACTGCTCTTCCTTTGGTGTTTTTGCAACAATGACTTAAAAATGTAAAAACCACTCCCAGTTCATGGGTGGCCAGCTAGGGGCCCGCGTGCAGGCTGCAGTTCGCTGCTCCCTGTCCCAGAAGCCGCGGCACGGGAGGCCTGGGTGGCTGGAGGGGCGGGAGGTGGGGCATGGAGCAGAAAGTCCTGCGCAGAGCCAGTCTGGGCGGGGGTCTGTGGTAGGGGCCACGAGCCTCCACACAGGACGGGCAAGGCTGGGAGCAGAGGGACGGGCACAGGCCTGCGTCTGCCTGCGGGCAGCAGCGGGAAACGGGCGCCTTCTGCAACAGAGCATAGCGCCAGCGTGCCCCTCTCCACCCCTGGCTCATTCCTCCCCTCCCCTCTCGTCCCCTCCAGGCCCCTGCAGGGCACAGACTCAGATACCGCCTGGCCTGCTTCAAAGCCCAGCTCTGCCCTTCCAAGCTGTGTGTCCTCGGGCAAGTGGTTCTATCTCTCTGGGCCTTGGCTTCCCCATCTGTAAAATGGGGGTGGTGACAGCACCTGTAGTTCCACCTACTCGGGAGGCTGAGGCAGGAAGATCGCTTGAGCCCAGGAGTCTGAGGTTGCTGTGAGCTATGATGATGCCACAGCACTCTAGCCCTGGTGACAGAGCAAGACTGTCTCAAAAGAAAAAAAAAAAAGACAGACACATGCATGCCAGTCCCCCAGCATCCTTGTGATGGTACCTTGGACAGCCACGGCACCTCTCTCCTGCCCGCCCAACCCCTGACAGCCACTCGGCTGCTCTCCATTCTACAACGTGTCATTTCGAGCTCGTTGCGTAAACAGAATCGCACAGCACGTGGCCTTCTGCGGCTGGCTTTTCCCACTTGGCGCAGACTCCCTGGGGGTCTGTCTAGGCGGTTGAGTGGATCCAGAGTTCGGTTTTTTTCTTGCTGAGTAGTACTCCACCGTGTGGACGCGCCCTGGTTTGTTGAACTATTCGCTGAGTTGGTTTTTTTGTTTTTTGTTGTTTTTTTTTTTTTTAAAGGCAGAGCCTTGCTCTGTCACCCTGGCTAGCGTGCGGTGGCACGATCACAGCTCACTGCAGCCTCGAACTCCTGGGCTCAAGCCATCCTCTCGCCTCAGCCTCCAGTAGTTGGGATGACAGGTGCACGACACCACCGTGCCCGGCTGATGTTTTTTTATTTTTCGTAGAGACAGAGTCTATGTTGCCCAGGCTGGTCTCGAACTCCTGAGATCAATCCATCCTCCTGCCTCGGCCTTCCAGAGTGCTGGGATTGAGACGTGAC